AGCAGGCAGGATAAGTTATCAGGATGTCAGATCATCAGTTTCCTTCTCACCTTTCATTGTTCAAAAAGCATAGTTTATCACATAGCTCCATTTTCAAAGGCTTGATAGCTCTCTTAGATGGTCCTGTTGTATTTTAATGATTGGAAATGTTCTTGGAATATGTATAAAGAATAAAAGAGCCAATTACATGAATATACATTATGGATGTCTAAGCATAGTTTTGATATGCTTATCAAACAGTTATTAAAGTCACTTGAAGATTAAGAAAAATACAGAAAAGCCAATTATATAATTTCATCTATATTGCTATGACTTCAAAACTAACTATGGAACCTAGAATAGGATATTTTAGAATCATATTCAAGTTTAAGGAAAAACCATGTGTGTACCACCCAAAACTGAGGTAAAATTAAAGAGATAGAAAACAAATCTAATATATAAAACTAAACATGATAAGTTTAAGCTTAGATTATTGATAAAGTTTATCAAAAAAGGTGCTTTTTCTTTCTTTCTTTCTTTTCTCCTTCCCCCAGAGTACAACTAGATTACTGTGGGCACAATTCAAAAGATGGCGTAGAGGGTAGCTCTCAGCCTGGAGGGTTTTCTCTGCCATGTCTCACACTGTGCTCAACAGTCATTCATGAAATGAAAACTACAGCACAACTTTTACAATGTCACCTCCACCCCATTCAATAAACTCTAGTGGCTCCCTATCACCTCCAGAATCAAGTATAAAATTCTTTAGTTGGCATTTAAAGCCCTTCATAACCTGACCCTCCCCTACCATGCCAGTCTTCTTATACCTTCCACTCTCTACCCTCCCCGATGTACTCTAGAATCCAGTGCCATTGGCCTCCTGGCTGGCCCCATCCCTGGAGCGCTCTGCTTCCTCATCTCGACTTCCGGGCTTCCATCCCACCTGCCATAGGGAAGCCTCTCCTGATCCCCCTTAATTCTAGTTCCTTCCCTCTGTTGCTTTATCCTATGACAGAATAAATCCTTTCTAATTTACCCTATATTCAGTGTGTTTGTGCAGTGGTTTGCATGTTGTTTTCCTAATTTGACTATGAGCTCCTTGAGAGCAGGGACTATTTTTTGCCTTTCTTTGTATCTTCAGTGTTTAGCACAGTACCTGGCACATGGTTGGCATTTACTAAATGTTAATTGACTGATTATCTTATGTGCTGCTAGAAGAGATATGAACAATGTAAATAACTGAAACAAGATTATGTATATACATAGATACATATTTGTGTGTAAGAACTGGCATTTACTCGTATTTTTAATTTTGAAAAGCACTTCACATACATTGTATCACAGAAAATCCTGTAAGGTAGGTCCTACAGATATGTTTATCCCCATATTATGGAGGAAACCGAGGCTCAGAGAGATGAGCTGACGTACTCATGGCCACACAGCTGGTGAGGTCAGCAGTGGCATTTGCGCTCATGGATTCCTAGCCACAAGTCTTCTGTGCTTGGTCACCCAGACTTGGCTTAAATAGCTCTTCTACTGGTTCCGCTCTTGTACTGCAGAGATTTATAGTTCCCACTTTAGTTCACTATAGCCAGCACTGTAGGTTCTATCATGTACATCACCAGCTTTAGTTATCTCCCCCACCTCCACTCCACCCCATCCTTGAAACTGCCTTGTATATATTTTGTATGATCAGAGGCAGCATGACATTGTGAAGAGAAAACTGTCCTTGGAACCAGGAAGACCGAGGTTCAAATTCTACCTCTTTTCACACACTGTCTTTGTGTTCCTGACCCTGGACAAGTCAGTTAACCTCTCTGTAATTCTGGCAACTCTCTGAGCTCTGTAAGTTGCGGAAAGGATGTTTACCTGAATTGGTAGAGGGAGCTTCCTCACTCAGGAGTCCCCATACAGTCCTGGCCCTGAATTGTGTATCTGTTTTTATGTGTACAGGTTGTTTCCCCTGAGAGAGTGTCAACTCCTTGAGTTCAGGCCCTGTTTCACTGTTTGTCTTTTTATCCCAAGCCTTGCGTAGCGCTTGATACATAGAAGGTCCTTAACGCTGAGCTGGCAGAAAGTCTTGAAAAGTTCGAATTCCAGACCAACTCCACCTTTTGACCCATTGCTGCAGTTGATTAAAGGCATCTAGGTGCTGTTTTGGATATGATATAGTGGATCTAGAGTCAGAAGACCCGAGTTCAAATTTGGCCTCAAACACTTTTCTAGTTGTATGATCCTTGGGCAGATCACTTAACCTCTGTCTCCTTCAATTTCCTCAGCTGCAAAAGGAGTGTGCGTGTGTGTGTGTGTGTGTGTGTGTGTGTGTGATAACACCTATCTTCCAAGGGTTTTACAAGGATCAAATGACATATTTGGAAAACACTTAGCAGCATGTAGTAGTTGCTTAATAAGTGCTTCTTTCCTTCCCCTCTCCTTTGCTCAAGGCAGCCAAAAAAAAATCTCTACTCAGAAGTCTCAACAGATAACTTTGAAGTTGGAACCAAGACTTGATTGAGTTACACATTAAAAAGCTTTCACATGTCACCTGAGCAGTCTTTACATGCTTTACAGTCATTTACAGTCTTTACAGGGTACTGTGCCTAGGTAGCTGACCCCTAATAATGTTCATTTCAATTCAAATATTTTTAGGTGTCCACTATATCCAAGGCATCGGAGATACAATAACAAAACAAAATAGACCCTTCATCAAGGGGGATGTATTTTTACAGGTGGTGGCACTGGAAGGCTAGCCAGTCTTGAGTTGTCAGTCATCCATCAGTTAGTTAGCAGACCCATTGAGCATGCTCATACAACTACCTTCCCCTGACTTTGTGTCAGAGGACTATCCAGAACAACCTGTTTTCTATTCAGGAATAAGGTTTTCCCTTTCCGAGAAAACTTCTCCCTTCCCTGTCTAGAGAATGACTAGCTTTTCAAAAGCCTAGTGTAGCAAATAGCCACCAGAAGGTCTCAGCAAAGGAAAGGAAAAAACGTCCATGCTTTAGTCCCTTCACAACCTGCACTTCTGACTAGCTCCCAATTTTATTTCTAGAGGTATCTGAATTCCAAAGATGTTAGCAAATTTACATTGTCTGATACTGGTCTACCTCCTCTTTCTTAGTTGTTATAAAATAGCTCCTAAGACCCTGAGTCCAAGCTAAACAAAATTGTTCACTTTTCTGGAACAGGGAACACTCTCTGATTATTTTGCTATTTGTGAACCTAAAAAAAATACACGCATAACTTGGCATTTTTTCTGGCCAAGACTGTTAATAGATAATTGAAATCTAAATTGAAAAGAACAGATAAGTAATTAAGACAGCTGGCCAACTTGGAAAGGGAAAATGGCTCTACCAGAAGGTAGAAAGGGTCTCCGGAACAGTACTATCCTTTTGTCCTACTCTCACCATTCTAGAGCTTCCAATCCCTGGTGTTGCCCTCTTGCCATTCTATGATCACAGCATAGCATCAGGCCAAACCCCTCTGATCACCAGCTCTCATGGCTGAATATTGGAAGCTTTTCACTTCCCTTCCATCTCTTCTTTCTGCTTATTTTGCTCTGCTTCTTTGGATTCTTCTATCCTTTTTCTCAGAAGACTGAAGTGGGGGTAGGAGTGGGGTAAGTGCTGCTCTAGGAGATGTTCAAGCTTCAGAATCAAGGTGACTATCTAACTAGCACTCGGGCTTCCCCAAAAGGCAGGTTCCAAATAAATATAAGGCAGTAAGCATTACCTATTAGGTGGATCAGGGAAGGTTTTAATAGAGGATATGGCATTGAAGGAAGAGAAACATGCTGACTTAGAATGTGCCTATTCATTCTAATGGGTTAAGATGAGAAAGGAGCAGTTCTAAGCCTAGGATATATTTTATTCAAATACGTTTGAAAAATAGTTTTTCCAGTTGGGAACTTAAGAGTAGGTAAAGTGTAATAGTAATGTGTGATCAGACTAGAAAGGTAGATTAGAGTCAGTTTCAGGAGGAAACCTCTGAAGTCTTTTGAGAAGGGAAATGCTAAGTTTGGACTAGATATATGGAGGAAGAATTGGAGATGGGAGAGACTGAAGCAAGGGAGGTAGAGAGCACAGTTAGGAGGCTAAGGCTATTATAATAGTCTGCATGAGATGCTATTTTGTTGTAATTTCTTCATTTGTCTTGCCTTAAAACAAAAATGTTAATGATTCAAGTGAGAAAATAGTTATCTTTTGATTTTTTTCATCCAATGACACAAGGTATTTTTTATGCCTCAGCTCTTTCAAAATTTCTAAATTTATTGCTTGCCTATTGCCAATTCCATCATACCAGGTAACAAGCCTTTATACTGCATAATGAGAAGTACCAATTATAAGAAATCATAGAAATTAAAACTTTTCAATTTCTATGGAGTTGGGACAAAAATTAATCTTCATAGATTTTGTTATTCATCTTCTAGGAATTAAAACCCTGATGAGGCATTTTAAACTTGCCTGTGAAGCACAGTATGTAATATGTTAGAAATGTGTATTTTGTCATTTACAAAGTGTTACCTAAACATACAGAATGTAAATATAAAACTAACTAGCTGTCCAAAATGTCACAAAAAATTACAGCCATAAGACCTCTTGGAACACTGAAATTTGATTGCTTATATGAGTGCTGCCAATCTTTTAGATAGTTTATGGGATTTAAACTCCTTGCAGGGTGTTTGAATTAGCATCCATGGGATTTAAATCAACCGTGAGTTTGTCATATAGGACAGATGTTTGTTTATTACTTTTTTTTGCAACTGATAATGTTGACCTTGAAAGATGAATATATGAATGCCTCTTTTTAGAATGCCTGCCTCCTTAACACCTATGTAGGTTTTTTTAGAGATTGTTGAGGATGGTTGTATACAGTTTTTAAAATATTCCTTCTAGCCCACAGAAAAGTAGCCAAAATTATTTTCCTGGGACAAAAATTCTTACTATCTAAATGTATTCATATATCACACAAATTCTTCATTGAATATGTCATATATCATTAGCTCTGTGTTTGATTTTCAACAGGAATACGATGAAGAGTGGGCTAAGAAAATTCAGAGTGAGAAGTTCCGCTGGCATAACTCTCAGTGGCTTGAGATGGTAGAGAGTCGTCAGATGGATGAGAGTGAACAATACTTATATGGAGATGATCGAATTGAACCATACATCCATGAAGCAGATATCCTTGAAAGACCTGACCTGTTCTACAGTTCAGGTAAGATGGTACCAAGAATTTTCCTATGTCTTTTCCTGAATCACCAGTTAAACAAGTAAATTGTTGTATAGTATAAACTGGAGTTTCGATTTGCCAACTCAGGTCATTTCCAGGCCTTATAAGAATGTCTTTTAGACAAGTGAACTTCTGGCAAGGATTTTAGATGTGACATCTATGACACCAAGCCAGTCTCTTTCCTTTAAGTTTGGTATGTGTACATACCTTCATCCATCCCACTTAATGATTGTTTCCACAGCAGTGAGTTAGAGTGAAATGTCAGTAGCTTTTCATATCCAGACTTTCAGTGCTTTTTTGTATTATTGCTGTAGCATATTGTAATGGATAATTTTAACTGAGCAGGGTGAGATGAAGGACATTGCCAGTGACATAATGTATAGAAGGTTAAAAATTATGCTAAGATGAAAAAATATTTAAGTAGGTGATTGTGTCTAAATTATTAGTTTATTTTCCAGTTTTTTTTTCCCAGTTCCTATCAGAGCAGTGTGGTCTTACATGTGAATTTTGAAAGTGCTGCCCATAAACATTTATTATTGTTCATACACAGGAGTTATCCCTGCAGTACTTGATGAAGACTTGAATTCCTAAAGTTGAAAATTAAGTAGACTTGTTTCCTAAATAAACTTTGCAGTAGTTTCATAATATATTACTTTGTGTTTCATGCCAGAAAGAGTAGATCTTTTATTTCAACCAGAATATCTCATTCAATAATAACAACAGTTGCCTCTTGAATACTCAAGTATTCAATAAGTAAATTTATTTTAAATATATTTGATGTAAATTATTGAGATTCATAGGCCCATAGAATCATAGACCACAGCTGAAAGGGACTTCATGGATATCTAATACAGCACTTTCATTTTACTGGTGAGGAAACTAAAGCCCATGGGAGTGACTGTCCCAAAGTTACACAGGTAGAAGTGGAAGAAGGCCAGACTTGAACCTAGGTTGTCAGACCACAGAATTATACATTTAAAACTAGAAGGGGCCTCCGAGCTCATCTAGTCTGGCCCCTTATTTTATATCTAGGGAAACTGAGGTCTGGAGATGTGGTAATTTGCCTAAGGTCACAAAGAGAGAGTAAGCATTATAGCAGGTCCCTCAACTTCAAAGCTAGTGCTCTTTCTAGTTTATCTTGCTCCACAAATGATTCCAAAGCAAATTTTATAGTTTGAAAATAGACAATCTACTTTGCATTAATATTGCTTGTCAGTGTGAATATGGTATCAGTTCCCAGTCAACCATCAACCATGTATTTATTAAATTCTTACTGTGTGCCAGGCACTGTTTTAAGTTCTGGGGACACAAAGAAAGGTAAAAACAGACCTTACCCTCAAGAAGCTCACATTCTAATGGGGAAGTAAGATATCTATGGAGTGGATGGCAGGTAATATGAGAGAAGAAGATAGTAGAAGCTAGGAGGGAAAGTGTTAGGGAAGGCCTCGTGCAGATGGTAGAACCAGAACAGAGACTTGAATGAAGCCAGGAAAACCAAGAGGCCTGGGGAGCCGCAGAGCATGACAGACCTCTAGGTTATCAGTTCAAATTCACAGAGACGGGATGGAGCTTCATGTTGGAGAAACTACAGAAGTGCAAGAACAGGGTAGCTGGATCACAGAGAGCAAAGGAAGCGTGAAGAGATAAGAGAGTAAGGGGCCCTGACACTGTGGAGCTTACTGTATTTAACATTTTTAAAGAGATCAATTGCCTAAAATGCTGATATCTAATGAGCCCAAATGTGAATTATTTTGCATATTTTAGGTACTGAAATTATAATTGAAATGAGAAGGCAGCAACAGTTCATGACGACAGAAACTAATTATTTTGGAGAATGAGTGGTATAAAGAAGAGTTACTAGTCCCTCCCATAAACTGTGCAGAAATCTCTTGCTGTATCTTATACTTTGCTTCCCAGGTGCTTCTTTTCTTGCCGTCTTTCTTCTGCTTTAGATACACGTGGAAATTTGACAGTTCAAATAAAAATACCACAAATACCTCTATAGAGGTAGCACAAGGTCTCCATTTTTCTTTCTGGTCTGTTCCATCCAGTCAATCACTTTTCCCATGAACTCTTCTTATCTAATAAATGAATCTTTGTAGCACCTCATCAAATGCCTCTTAGAAATCTAGATAATGTCAGCCTTGTTCCTTTCATCCTGTACCACTCTAGGATCTTTGGAAACATCAGGTAAATTTGTAACACAGGAGAAGATTTGTTTGAATGCCTGAATCATCTAATTTAAATCCATGGGTCTGTAAGAAACTCTTGGCTGTTTCCTGTAAAAGCAGCTTTAGTAGCTTTCTAGTCACAGGGGTTAAGCTAAGTGGCCTGTGATTCCCTGGATCTTATCTCTTTTACTTTAAAATGGAATGGCATTTGCTACTTCCTAGTCATTAAAATCTCTTTCTATCTTCTGTTAAACTATTAAAATATCAGTCACAGTGCATCTGTTTCTTCCATTTTATGGGAATCTTAGTGTTGCCATCTGATAGGTGAACCTAGAGTCTATTTCAGATATGTCAGTCTTTTTCTTGAACACTTTAACATTATTGAACACCTCTATATCAGTATCTGCTTTGCAGTAATCTACCAGTTTTCTTTTTTATAATGAAAATGAAGTTGTTTAATTAAGTCTTCTTGCCAGCAGAAGAAAAGTGGGTATTTTAAAATGAAATAGTTTTAAAATTAACTCTTCTGTCCCATTCTTAAATAAAACTGTTACACTACACATTTATAAATAGAAAGTAAAAATAATAAGCTTCCAAAATATAAATAATTTTTTCTCTTTACTGGTAGGATCAGGACTATTATATTACAAAAGTAGTTATGTTCTGGTTTTATATCACTTCTTACTGACTTTTAATTTGTTGCTTTTTTTTTTGCTTCATTCTTTTCAGAAGTTGTAGTTTTGATTTTCTCTATGTATCGTTTTTTTTTTTGGTATATGCATTATTCCCTTTGAAGCCAGTGGGAGTTCTGAATATGGAAGGAAGATGTTGAGAATTTAACCAACACTTTTTCATTTATTAGTTTCCTCTTATCCTAGCACACTGTCTAGTTCATGTTTCGTGTAATTTGAACTTTTTACCGTAATTCCAGTATTGTCTTTATTTCATTACAGTGAGATCTCAAATAATTCTGAATGTTTAAAATTCTTTTCACTCCTTTGGCATACCAATGAATTCAGCACTTCTTTCATTCAGTTTGGAAGTGTGGAGCACATTTTATTTTTGACATTAAGTTTAGTTTATTTCTTCTTTAATTGGTGGATTCCTTGAAAATACTGTTCCTCAATTTGCTTTTCAATTACCAGAGGAACTTGTTAATTTTGATCTTGACCTTGTTCATTGTTCTTACACTTTGATGATGGCTCATCCATCAAAAAATGGATCTTAAAAACTCCTTGACTCTCATTTTGTTAAATCTGTAGTGTCTTGGTTCATCCCATTACTCTGTCGTGTGTGTGTGTGTGTGCATGTGTGCATGTGTGCATGCGTGCTGGTGTAGCCAGTCTTACAACTTCTGGAGCTGATAACAATCAGACTATTGATTGCTACTCTACTTTTAGTACTGCTGGATGAATATTCTGTTTCTTTGCCATTAGCAGGTCTTTACCTCCTAATTAATCTATATTTTCTATTCTCATCCTTTTGACAAAAATGGGAAAGTAAACCCAATTTCAACCTTTTACTATGCTTATTAAATGGATGATAAATAGATGAATTTTCCAGCTTCCTCTCAGCTCTTCTTTTATGCATTCTGTACATTCTCACCAATTAATACATAATTACCAACTCAATTTTTCTTTACTTTTCCTCCTCTCTTCCACTTTTCCGAATCTTGTCCATACTTCAAAGTTCCATCTCCAACTCTTCTGTAAAGCCTTCCCTGACCACCTTAATACATAATGATCTTTCCTCTCAACTCAAAGCACTTGTATGTATAAATTATTTGTACTTAATCATATATTGCATTGTGACATGTTTTCTGATGACATTATTATTTACCTCTGGCATTGTTTATTCATTTTTAAAGTATATATATATTCTTTCTCTCTCTACCTAGACTGGAAGCTCCTCAAGGTTAGGGATCATGTATTATTCATTTTTGTAACCCCCGTAATGCCTAGCATAAGTTTATTCACACAGACACAATTAACTTAATAAGCTCTTTGTTGAGGGTCTACCATGGATAGAACATTCACTAATGTTGGTGATATATGTAAATATAATAATACATTTATCTAAAGGTCTCTTATTTAGCTATCTCAGCTTTCAAGTACATTTTTTTCATTGAAAGTACACTGGAACAATTATTCAGTGCTTATTTACTTTTGTTTTACAAATAATTCTAACTAAAGTTAGAGGTGCTCAAACAGGAAGAGGTGACATCTGGCATACCAACAAATGAGGAGACAAAAATAATATGAAAAGCAAATGTAAGAACTTAAAAAGCATATTTATTGTAGAAATAAATATCTAAATAGTGCCTTATTATGCTTTTGCATTAAGAAAAGGTTAAATTAGAGTCAGTTCATTCTGTTTAGGGAGGCAGTGAAATGGAGAGCCCACTTTCAAAAAAGATTTCTATCAAAAAATGATTAACATTAAAAAATTGGGGCATTTAGTACCAAGCTTCATTTATCTGGAAAAGTCACTTCCATCAAACAGTTCTGAATAAGGATCAAACAAATAACATGTAAAGCATTTTGCAAAATTTAATGCTTTATATAAATGCTGGCTGTCATCATCATCATCATCATCATCATCATCAAATGAAGCATTCATTAAGCTTTGTCCTCAAGGGAGTGACAGTTTAATTATGGAGACAGGGCAAAAATAGAGAGAGATGGAAGTAATCTCTGATCATGACATTGGAAAGAGAAGCAAATGACTTTGCATTGTTTCATATTAACATTTATCCTCCTTGACCATGGATAATTTCAATTGTAGAAATTAATGCCTGTTTGTCATTTTTATACCTTTTTCTGTTCATTAGATGGATTGATTGCTCCTGAAGGTGCCATGAGTCCGGATTTCTTCAATGATTATCACCTTCAGAATGGAGACTTAGTGGGGCAACATTCCTTTCCTGGAAGGTAAGTACATCTTGAAATAAAATGTAATTAACACTTTGGGGGGAAAGAACCATTTTCTTTCTGTTTTTGAAACAGTTGAGATTTTTCAGAATTTGTCTATATTTTTCATTAAGAAAATAACTTTCATCTTTTTAAGCAGAATTTTTTATTAGTATGCAGTCACACTTTAATTTTTAAAGTTTGTTTAAATCAGATTTTTAAAGAATCGTTTTATCATATCACTTTGGAAAGTCCAGGCTGTGTCTTGAAACAAACACTGCTGTTGCCATGTGAATCTGAGAACCTTCTAAAATCAATAAAAACAGAAAAGAAAATACAAATGAGTTATCATGTATTTTAACAGTTGTTCAGACACATATGCTTGGAAAAGTTTTAAAGCTTTGATTAAATTGAAGATTTTTTCCCAATAATATGATGTTGAAAAGGCAGATTTCCAGCTTTGTCACTGATGAGATAGGCTTCGAAAACCTTGCCAGAAAAGATATTTTCCCCTCTGCCATCATTGAATGATTACTAGAGGTATAAGTCTCTTATTTCAAAGGTGACCTTGTTGAATATCACTTTTGAAATTTACATAGCTATAGCTTCCAATTAATTATATATTCTTGTTTTACTAAAAAGAAACTTGTTTTACTAAAAATTATCTCTAGGACAGTCTTAAAGATGTATGTTGTTTTGGCAATATATTGTTGTAATTATTATGGTTATGAGAGTCCCTTGGATGTCTTAGCCCCTTTATTTTATTTCTTGCCATAAGCCATCTTAAATCTGAAGTAAAGAAATTAACACTAGATTGTTGGTATAACAAACTTGGTGCTTTAGGAGGTCAGAGCTGAACTTTTGGTTGAATATTATGAAACAGATTTTCCATAACAAAATTAGAAAAGGAAGAAATTTGGACTGTGTTTCCAGAAAACATATATTACCAAGTTTTACAGATATTTACAGGATTAGCTCATCAGCCATTTTTCTTTTGCCTTGGGCAACTTCCCATATTCATACTTTCTGCTGGTCCTTTTTCATCTATCTTCACATAAAGTCAGATCAGCAGGAAACTTGAGAACATATTTCTTCACTTTCATTGAAAGTTATTTTTAATGAAAGCCCTGTGAGAAAATGATTCACTTTACAACCAACTTTTTAGCAACAATCTATTGGGTAATGTGAGAAAAACCTTTTTGGAGAGTTGGTAACTAGCTTGAGATAATTATGATTAACACTGGAAAGATTATTTTCATCCAGGTACAGCCTCATAATGATAAAAAACATTAATTATCATTCTTTTCTCTAAAAAGTAAATATTCAAATTAACATGCTGGTAATTTAATTAATTAGTTTGACAAAAACTCATATTCATAATGTTTTGAAATCACATTTTGGAAAAGAATAAAAATACTTTGCAGGACTGTATAATTACTCAGTGGCAAAATGATGAACTAGAACCCAGAACAGTTCAATATTTTAATTCTCTCTCTGCTGTACATTTCTGTAACCTGGGAAAGTTCATTTATCCCTATTCTCTAATTTTCTTTTCTGAAAAGTAACACTTAAAATATCATTTCTTCTGTATCATTCATGTTGCAATAATGTTGACTTAAAGTTGCTTTGGGTAGTTTAGCTAATAAAACTTATAAATCACTTTGTAGACCACAAGTGTGATCTAAAATACTTAACAATAATAGGTGGAACTTGGGAATTGTTTTCCCTTTAATCAAAATGTCCCATGAGAAAGTTGGTTCTTTCATCTCTTGTCCTTTGTAGTTTCTCAGATCTCAAATCATTTTCTCTTTTATATTTCCAGAAGATTCCAATTTATAATGAATTCACTCAGTTTTCTTTAGGTGATAGCTTAAGTGGGAGGGGACCATTTCTAAGCAGCGCCAGTAGAGATGCAAACAATTACAGTATACATTATATCCAAAAAGTTGTACTTGTTCTTATTTTCATTCTTTTTATAGCTGACCCTACTCCTGGAATCACTTACTTGGTCTATTATCCAGTCCTTCTACTTGGTTTGGTTTATTTTTTTATAGGATTTTTTTTTTTTTTGCTTTGCTTTGTTGCTATAAGACTAAGAATATTATACTTTTTTAGTTTAATTCTAGAAAGATTTCAGTACCTTTCTCATACCATATAAACATTTAAATGTTTGGGTATGTTATAATTGCTTCAAAATATGTCAAATATGAACCAATACCTGTCTTTCAGTCCTGATGCATGATGGGGGAAATTAATGTATATTTTATTTGATTACATTGAAAAGAGAATGACATTTTATGAAACTGATTTCAAAGTAAAAAAAATGAGGATGGTTTTCAGATATGTGAAATTACCAATTAGTTCTTCCTTGTATCTACTGAGAATACGACAAAAGACCAGATGACTTTAGAGGTCCCTTCTAAGTCAAAATCTGTGCTTCTGTAAATAGGCATAAGATATAACATGAAAGATATAGGCTAATAAGAATTACCCAATAGGATTATTATATGTTGGAATGGCATTGAGAGAGTCATGGGACTTCTCTTGTTTTTTCCTGCTCTTTAGTCAAAAATAAAATGACTCCTGTTAAGAATTATCTGAAAAAATAATTATGAAGTTAGAGCATGTGCAATTTAAATTGCTATTCTCATGACTATTATTAGTAAACATTGGAATACCAGCAATGTGCTAGGTGCAGCACAAAATCAGGATAAAGCAGTCTTTTCCTAGGAGACTTATCCTTAGACTTATTCTTTAGGCCATGCCCATGATTGAAAAGCCTTTCTCTTCCTAGGTGATTTCACTTTTAGTTGACTAAATGTGGAAATTGACTATCTCAAATATCCTGAAGATGAAAAGAAAAAAAGCTTTTGCCACCTCGCACAGCAGTATATTTTTATATTCAACAAGAATATTATTGACTTAAATGTAGACCTCATTGTTATCTAACTTCATTATTATCTCACAAGTTCAAATTACATGAGGAAGTCAAACCCAAGTTAAAAAAGAGACTAAAAAATTTTCATTTGTGTGATATTTTTCCTCCCTTTTTTTTAGTATGGTGGTGGGAGGAGCTTTTTCATCTGAATGCATACATTTTTATAATACAATTGGGAACCTAATTGGAAACAGTAAAAATGATTGCACACATTTTTCCCTATTATGCAAAGGAGGCAATATGTTTGATAAAATAGACACTGGCAGTTGGACAGCAAATACTAAGTTTTAGACATGTGTCACTATCGTTTTGAAACTCTTGGCGCCAGGATTTCCCGACATTTAGAACTAATGCAAAATGCATTAGTGCTCCAAGGCATAAGCAAAGGAATTGCCAATCCCAGAGTGTTAAATGTAAATCTTTCCCTCCCAATTCTGAAATGGTGTTAGAAAGTAAAATGGGATTTATTATAGAAGCTAATTAAAAATAATAAGAACAAGTCTAGATTTTTTTTTGCATTATATATCATATATTGGCCCCATATTTTAGTGCCTTTTTTTTTTTATAACTCTTACTTTTCAAGCCTAACAAGAACCTCATGTTTAGCATATTTTTAAACTGGTTCCAGCTTTTACAAATCAGTTTTTGTTGCAGTAAAAATGGTCTATTTTTCTACTTTTATAGGAATCCAATTTTCATAAACTATTTTTTAAAAATCGCAGAGACTGCTGAGTTTTCCTTAGGGCTTTAAAAATATTTTTCAATGGGCCTGGTGTTCCTCTTTGTGGTTGGCACAGTAATATAGTTTACTAACCATATTACTGAGGGCAAAGATAAACTAACAGCCTTCTGATTCTGAAAAGATGTACAACAATTGTCTTTTTATCTTTCCTTGTACAATCTTCCACTCCTTTATTTTTTGTTTAAAAACAAGCTCACATTCATTGTATTGTGTCATTCTTTGTTTATGTGTATACATTTGCATATGTGCTACTTTTCTTCATGCTAATTTACCATTCTTACAAAAGCAGAGTCAGAGATACAAATACTTTGTACTCACTATAAAAACTAACATTAGAGTTTTTCGAATTATGGATTAACGGGAGGGAAGCTATCATTTTGGGGTTGGTGCACATGGTGTTATTAAAAAAAACTCTTGGGACAGCTCGGTGGCACAGTAGATAGAGCTTTGGTCTTGAAGTCAGGAGGACCTGAGTTCAAATGTAGCCTCAGACATTTAACACTTACTAGCTGTGTGACCCTGGGCAAGTCACTTAACCCCAATTGCCAAAACCAAAAAAAAAAAAAAAGACTAAGTCTGAAAAGAGCCCTGGATTTGGAGTCAAGACATGGGTTCTAGTCTTGGCTCTTTACTATCCGAATAACTATTCCTTCTATGAATTTCATTGTCCTCATCTGTAAAATTATCTTTCATGCTGTGGTTCTGTGATTCTATTATCTTATAATCCTCTGTGGTTAGGAGCTCATTGTTTGATATTAGTAACCATTGTAACAAGGAGCTCTGATTAGAATGTGATATTTTATATTAAGTTTCCAGAATTTCCCTGAATAACATCAGTTTCAATGTGGAATAGTTATTAGGACTCAAAAATTTAAACATTAAGACTTTCTTCCTCCCTGGTTAGAACTCTGGACCTGGAGTCAAGAACACGAGTTCAAATCCAGCCTCATATACTTACTAATTGTGTGATCTGGGACAAATCAATTACCTTCTGTCTGTCTCAGTTTCCTCAACTGTATGGGGATCATAACAGCACCTACCTCCCCAGGTTGTTGTGAGGATCACATGAGATCATATTTGAAAAGCACTTAAAGACAGTACCTGGAACATAGGAGGCACTTAATAAATTCTTGTTCCCTTCCTCCCTTTTCCTGTTTTACCCAAAAGATTAGAGCACAAAGACAATATATTGCACAGGAAGTTGCATAGAACTCCATCTTATATATTTGTTGTGACAGGCTATATCAAGAAGTACATTTGGAAAGGCGAGACATTTTTCTGTATTGTGACAACAGTTAAATATCCTTCCATTTTTACTTAATAAGCCTATTTTGTCTGATT